CCAAAAATGTACAAAAATGGAGAAGGAAAAGCTTCAGGGCAAAATCCAAAACATGAATTAGTATGCACTGCGCCTAAATTAAGGGGCACTAGCAAAGCCTTCAATCTTGACTGATATATAGAGGAGGTCATGCAAGAAAGCAGACAAAAACTTTACCAGCAATCTCATCAGCTACCGCATCATCAATGTCGCAACAGAACCCATATGGGGGATTGCAAGAGGCATTATATATACACATTTGAGCATCCTCCTCACTGTTTCATGAAGAACAGATAGTTGATAAAAATCAGCACCAACTCACAGCGAAACATGACAGACGGTAAAGCCTATGCTCTTCTGAAGTTAATTCTATATGATGAAATATCACAATTATACTCGAGAAACACTACAGGAGAGACAAGGATGAGCAGAATTATTATTCACAGCTTGAATCCAGAATTAAATGCATAATCATATGCTGGTGGGACTCAGAATCAACTTTAGTTGAGTTGGCAATTCAGTTTTTTCAAAAAAGGAAGTTGGCAAACATGGAAGACATTCAGAAATAAAAATGAAGCCAATGAAGACAGTCAATCAACAAGAAGACATATTTAGCAAGAGCTTTAATGGTGTAAGGGAGACTTACCAACGTGAAAGGTAAGTTCTATAGAGCAATTATAAGACCAACAATGCTATATGTGAGTGAATGTTGGGCTACTAAAATCCTACACATCCACAAGATGAGTGTCACAAAGATGTGATTGATAAGGTGGATATACGGTAATACAAGATTAGAATAAGATCTCTCTAGGCAATATCAATAATAGCCTATCTGGCCAAGCTTCCAAAATCTGCTTATTATGAAAAGTGCTTTTTGTCGGAAGTACTTTTGATGTGTAGCAGTTTGTGTGTGTTTGGCCAATCAATTTGAAAAGCACTTTTGTCAATATTTTGAAGTAATCTGTGCTCGGCCAAGGTTTCAAAAGTGCTTCGAGGAAAAAACTGTTCTTTTAGCTTCTACAAAACAACTTCTGTTATTATTCTAGAACACATGTTTTCCCTGAAAGCTTTGTCAAACGCCTCAATTTTCTAAAATAAGCACTTAAGGCTTCCTAAAAGTTTGGTCAAACACATTTAAGTTTGGAACATGTTTTAGTTATGTTAGTATGTTTAGTTTAGGTCTTATACTTTCAAAGAGACTATAGACTATTGTCATGCCACATTATATACCGGTAGATAATATATAGAACCTATAGTACTTTTTTGCTTCTATTTATTTTTGTGTGATACAGTGTGGAAATTGAGGCGTCGTTGTTGTTGTTGGTTGGAATGATTAAGAGGCCAAACAAAAGTTGGTGCTTGGGGAGAGCATCTAAAAGTAAACTCCCAAAGCGAGATATTCAACAGAGCTCTAGACTATTAAGAGTAAAAAATCAATGCAGCACAATATGTAAATGTCCCTCAGTAGATGCTCCCATTATACATCCTATAAGTATAAGCAGTCAGTTTGGTTGGCTAACAATTGCATACTTCAAATTACAAGCTTCCAATTGCATTTGACAATAGTTACCTAAAAAAATAACCAAAAGAAAGAAATCGTTCTACAAAGGCATAATACATAAATAAGACTTTTAACTTGGCCTCGGCTAGCATCTATGCCCTCCAACTCTGAGTATGCACAAATAGCCACTTAAACTTGTATGGAGTTCAACAAGTTGACACACATGTCCTACGTGCCATAATACACGAGGACACCATTTAGGATGCCACATAAGACACAAATTGCAGCATAGGACCCCAAGTAGGACGCACGTGTCTACTTGTTCAACTTTATACAAGCTTAAGTGCCTACTTATGCACAGTTGGAGGGCGCGTATGCCAACTGAGGCAAAGTTAAAAGTTAAAATAACACGTTTATATATTATGTCCTACAAAATTTCCAAATTTTATCAGCACATATTCTACCAATCATATAAGCACTAACCAAAAACACTTGCCAAAACTTATTAAAACACATAAAAAATTGATTTTTTTTCAAGATAATGAAACGTACTCACCTGCCTAATACTCTTTCAAGGGTCTCAACATAGTAATCAATGACTTCAGTTTTGGAACTGACCCCATTGGGAGGGGTTTCCATGAGAACCATCCAGTGGCTTTGAGTTGTAGTAGAATTGGGCAAAGATGGAGAAATGGATGTAATAGATGAAGAAGAAGCTGTTATTGAAGTTGCCCTGTTTCTTGAAATCACACAAGTACAACAGAATTTGGAAGAGTAGAGATTTTTTGATGATTTGTTAGGCAAATTTAGGGTGAATTTGAAATGGGGTTTTAGGGTTTTAGCTGAGAATGTAGGGATTATGGAGAGTGAAGAAGAAGATGAGTGAGGGAGAGTCACTTCCATGGCTCACTTTGCTCTATCAAGAAATGATAAATGAGGATATTTTAATGGAGGAAGATTAAAGATTAAAAATGCGAAATTATAAAGATGTGAAACTTAGTTTTATGAGGCTTACGCCCTAATCACTTGATTGCACGTCCTAAATACATTTAGGGTGTGTTTGGTATGATGGAAAACATTATGTTTTCCAATTTTCTGATGTTTGGTTGGGTTAAATGTTTTGGAAAATATTTTCTAAATCAACTCATTTTCCTCAAATTTAAAGAAAATGACTTCCCTTCAAAACTTAAAGAAACTTTTTTCCAAAACTCTCTTCCAACTTTCAATTAAAAAAAAAAAAAATTGTTGAAAAAATCAATTTATTTGGTCCCTACCCTCAAACCACCCCCAAAAAAAATAAAATTTAAAGTTTGTTTTTAAATTCAATATTTTTACCCCACCCTCACCCCTACCCCCACCCCCACCCCTACTACCACTCCTCCCAAAAAAATATTAAAAGTTGTTTTTAAAAGATATTTCTAATTTCAGTTTTTTAATTTTTTTACACCTCCTACCCTCGCCCCTCCCCCCCCCCCCCCCCAGCCCTCTATCCCACCCTCTTCAAAAGGAAAAAAATTTAATTTTGTTTTTAAAAAACATTATTTCATTTTTTCACCCTTACCCTCGACCCCTCTACCCTAGCCCCCACCCACCCCCTACTACCCCCCACTCCCCAAAAAAAAATTTAAGTTTGTTTTTTAAAAATATTTTTGACTTCAAAATTTCATTTTTTCACCCCCTACCATCGTCCCCCCGCCCCCGCCCTACCAGCCCCCCACCCCCCAAAAAAAATTTAAGTTTGTTTTTAAAATATATTTTCGACTTCAAAATTTCATTTTTTCCACCCCTACCCTCAACCCCCCCACCCCCCACCCACCCACCCACCCCCTACCAGCCCCCAAAAAAATTAAGTTTGTTTTTAAAAAATATTTTCAATTTCAACAATTATTTTCTACTCTAGTAAAAATAAAAGAAATTTTTCAAAAACATTTTTCATTCATAAATCAAACACTAAAAATCTTTTTCGGAAAATATTTTCTACTCACCAACCAAACATGAGAAAATAAGTCAAAAATCAACTTGTTTTCCAAGAAAACATTTTCTAGGAAAACATTTTCCTTCATACCAAACACACCCTTAATGTTTGCTCCTCGAGGCTTGCGAAACAATTCTTACATAAATTATGTGTCAAATTATGTTTAATGTTCAATGCTCGAGGCTCGTTAAATAATTCTTATGCAAATTATGTGTTGAATTCTCTAGTCAATTTTATTGACCCTCGTGATTCATCATAAATGAATGGTATTGAATAATCTTTCATCTATAAAAAAAAATGAGAGTAATTTAAATAACAAGTTGTATTATTGCATATTTACTATTTGAGAATATTGTGAGATCGAGTATCACTTAACATTACTTTAATATATATAGCTAAATTTTATATTTCACTTGTCATTGATCATCATGTTGTTGTTTAATGTCTCAAAATTATTATATTTTATTATATAAGAGAGTAATTTTACTTATATCAGAAGTGATGTCTTAATTATAATAATATTGATAAAGCTTATTGATTATTTTTTTAGTGAGGTAAATTGCATAGTATAATAATAATATATTTTTTTAAAATTGTGATTCTTTTTTAAAGGGAAGATGCTAGAGTTGATTTGCATCTCATAATAACAATTATATCATTGCATTACTTATATTCGTAAAATCATGTCAGAATTTTTTGTTATTTATGTGTTTCTTTAATCATATTTGTAATTTTATAAATTATTAATATATTTTTTTGTTATCATAATATTTTCATTACGTTATAAATTAAAATTTTAAAGATCCATGAAACTTACGCTTATTATATGCCTCGGGATCTCGCCCTATGCTAAGTAATATGTTTCATCTCGCCTTGTCTCACGACTCCATCTTTCAAAACAAAGAATAAGATTTTCCCACTCAATTTTAAAATACACCTTGTATATTTCTAAATAAAATTTTTAGGTCTTATTTATTTTTATTAAGATTAAAATATTTGAATACGAATACACATTTAAATATTAGAATTAATATGTCTGAATAAAACAATTGAATTTCAAATGTTGCAATAAGAAAGTTTGTTTTCTCAATATTTGAATATATATAAGTCTGTTTCTATTGAGAATTCTAATTAATCTAATACTACAATAATAAATAAATTTATATGGTAATCGATGGTGGTACGTTGTTATAAGTGTGGACTGACAATGGTAATTGACGGTGATGATGGTTAAGGGTGATGGTTTTGTCGTGAGTTTTGGCTAATAATATTGATTAACAATAATGAATTATATAATAAATAATTGTGATTGTGATTGATAACGATAATTGACTATATATAATTGTTAGTTATATGATTATAAAATTTGATTTTGTTTTTTGAAAGGTTTGTCTAGAGTCTCGACTATGTAGCAAATAATTAACTAGTAATGAAGAATTAAGAAAATTAGAGAAATAAAATCCTACCATTAACCATACAATATTAAAAGAAAAACAATAAAATATATCCTAATTAACTTACATTATTAATTAATGAAACAACTACTTTCACAGAATGTGCAAAAGAAAATATATATAATCAAAGTCCATCCACCAACTTGTGCTTAATTAGCAACAATCTTGGCCGTTTGATCAACCAGTTTATGGATCAAATGGTTCATATTAATTCTCCTTAATTAATTAATAAGTCAAATTTTGTGAAGCTTTTCAGCCTTAACCAATGGATTAGCCATGGCAATTGCCACCTTTCCCATTGACTTATAGTCAAAGGTACAACCATGATGCTCAGGGTACCTATGTGAACCACAAAATGTGACCCCACACCTACACTTGAAACCCGTTAAACCGATCCGTTTCCGACACGTGGCACAACGATTCGACTGCACCTGAGGAGTCTGATCAGCTACAGTATTCAATTGCACCTGAGGAACCTCAGCCGCAGTATCTGACTGCACCTGAGGAGCCCTAGTTGCAATCTCGGTCTCTTGTGGTTGTGAGACTTCAAGAATTGGTAACGGCTTTGTACATGGCATGTACATAGACGTTGATTCAGATTGTTGTTGTTGGGGACGAGTCTTTTCCATTGCAAGTTGAGCGGTTCGCGATTGTTGTTCTTTCATGCAATGATCCTTGTAGCATTTGGAACAAAGGTTCAAAGTTGTAGTGCTACCAAAGAACCCACAATTATTAGCACATAGCATATGCCCTACTCCTTCTTGCATCCTTTGTTCCTCTGCCATCTTTTTTTCTTTCAAACAAACTGTGACTCTTAACCCAATGAATTTATATAAATATGTGAGCGATCGACTTATTTCAAATCAATCGCTCAATTCCCAAGTTACGTACCTTATACCTGTAAACAAAATAACAATATAATTGAACGAAAATGTACTTATAAATAAATCAAGAAATCAAATCAAAGATATGAACCAAACGTTAAAAGACTTCAAAGTTGAAAATGTGTGTACGTGAATAAGCAAAGAAAATAAATAGGAGAAAATTATGCTCTTTGGAGAAAGGAAATCAATGGTAAGGAATCAATAATAGAGGCTTAAATATTAATTGGAATTTAGAAGACTTTTGGTGGTTGGTGGGGTTGGAAATTAAATAATAAAAATAAATTATTTAAAGGGAACTTTGGTGTTACTTGGAATTGCCGTTTTAGAAAGATTCTTGGAGATGATAAAAAGTTTAGAGAAAGGGTCCATTCCATAAATATTTATTCATCATTTATTTCGAATGTTTACATAAAATCAAATCAAATAACTTAATTTTAAGTTAAAAAAATAAAATAAAAAGTAATTATATCATTTAATCAATGATTGATAGTTTGTTTAGCTAAATTTTCAAAATCTGCTAAGATTAAAATTTAAGGAAATTGTCTTTCGAAAAAACGTATTGAAGGTAACAATGTGTGTTGTAACTAATTAACTTTAAAAGCAATTTTAACTGAGTTGGAGTAACAATCTGTGTTTGACAAATAATTTTTGTTATGGGTCTAACGTAACTAAAATTTGGACCCAAAAGTAATAAATGTGTATATGAAAAACACATTTTATATCTCTTTGATTCAATATAAATATCGAGTATGGATAAATTTTTCGTATAATAAATGGTTATTCGAAAGATTAGCTTTATGACAAATATTTTTTGTTGATTAGAATCATTCGAAGTCGTTGATGCTACGTTAAGGAGACCATTTCTTTTGTTTTTTGCTTTGGGTTTACGCTTTGTGTTTTCTTGATATTCTTTAATTGCCTAATAACATGTTCTAAAATGGCTGCTAAAAACATTATAAAATATTCTCCATTTGACATTCAAAATACAGGTCTTTTATTGTGTGATTAAGACTTTTATTGGTTATTAATTGTTTTTTTTTGCTATTGAAGTTTGGGAGTTGAAAAAATTGAGTATTTAGTTCATTGAAGAAAAAATTATTCCTTTTAATCAAATTTATATAGTTTGAATTTCAAGAGTCTAATTTCTTTATTTTAATCGTGCATTTAAAAATACTACAATCTTTAATTTTTTCTATAAATATCTTACATAAAAGGTACTATAAATCACAGTAGTAAAAATATTTAAAAATATACGAGTAAATTGCGGTAAAATAATTTCTTATTTAACTCTCGAAATTTGAATAGTATCATATTGATTGTGACAAAAGGAGTAGTAATTTTATTTTAAGGTGAAAAAAAACAACAAACAAAAAACAAGAAGAAGATTCCAAACTTGGATTCAAGAAAATAATATAATTTAATTATTAAAAGAATTTTATTCACGTTTATATATTCTTTGAAAGCTTTATTGCATAAATAAATATGATTCTTTGAATCTCAAAAAAAATAAAAAATTGAATAGTTGGTGTTAATGTTATTCATACTTTATCTTTAATCAAACTCAAAGGACTCTCTCTCATAATAATCATACAAAGAAGGAATATATTAATTCTCTTCATAAAAAAAACATTAATTCTCTTAATTACTTGCTATTTTCTCTATTTTTCTTCCATTTTAAACCAAAAAAAATAAAATAAAAAATCTTCCCTTTCATTTCAATCCAAACAGTTTTTATACAAATACACAAGGTACAGAACATTTACAATATTAATTATGTACCTATCATCCGTGGCCGAGCCAGAAATTTACATAACATGCTCAAAAAATAAAAATGCACTAGTTAAAATGTCACATCTCAAATCCTAACATGTGACCTAAAGCAATTTTCTCATTTGTCACTCGACTATACAATCTTCACTTATGTCAACACAATTCATGTATATAAAACAGAAAAAATTGTATTATATTTATGCTAGAAGCGGCGCTTCCACGCTTTCTCCATTTTCTTCTTGTGTTGACGGTGCTTCTGGTAGTATCCAAGCAAAATAAAATGCCATCGCCTAACACATCGCATTTCTAGAGTTAAAAATCACAAAAATGTTGCATAGCAAAACAGTACAATGCATGTCTAACCAGAGGCGAATCTAGGATATCAATATTCAGTGTCAGAGGTCGCAAGATGAGTGTCAATCTTATGTACATTTACTTCTTTTTTGCATAATCCGAGCCAAAAACAATGGGTTCGGTTGAACACTCCCTAATTATAATACGCGGCCTCTATATCTAACATGATTAAAATGTGTGAGAAAGTTTACCAAAGCAAAAGCTGCACAGATCAAGCTGAAACCTTTGCAGTTGAAAGGTGCATTGCTAGACAAGAACCAAGCTGCAACAATTCCAAGACAAACAAGATTTGATTGAAGAATGAAATCGAGCTAAGACAAGATCTTCGATAAGAAAGAAAGGCGCGTTTTTTTACTCACAGGTCAATGGACTCATTACAAGAGGGGCTAGAAAACTTCCAATTGCTTCTGCACCAGCAACTAATCCTTGAGTTTTGCCCTGTCACACAAAGAACAGCAATCGACTGAAGTTTCTAATAAACGTATCTTCAATAGACCAATGATTACTCGAGAAAAATAACGATAATGATTATACAGTGTACACCACATTCGTTGAGTATGTTTCGTAGTGACTAAGAAATGTATCTTCAGTAGACTTTTCTTTGTTCACACTCAACGGGACAAACATTTTGTTTCAGTAGCGTACGCGTGTATCAGAGATGTTAGACCGACAGTTGCACTTAACTGCTGGGAGTAAAGCTTATGGTTTACTAACCTGATCAGATGCGCTTGATGCTTTAGATACAATAGCATTAGTCTGTCATGAACAAAAATAATCAGAAAAAGGCGAGATTATCAATAAAACATCATTTTAAAGTGTCGCAAACAACACATTTTTTGATGTACTACTTACAGAAGGGCGCGGCGCTCTAGTATATAAATCATCCGAAATAAAGCACCAAAGTAAGGCACCTGTAACAGAAAGAATGAGTTCAAAGTCAAAATCATGTCATCTGACAAGCTTTTAGCCGAAAAAGCTATTAAAGGAGTCAATACGTAACCCCATTGGAGTACTGGAAGGAGATAAATATCTAGTTCACCTAACAATGTAAGAATTCCTCAACGTTCTTCTATCTCGTATACTCTAATGCAATAGTAAAGAGTACTGAATTCAGCTGCTCTTAAGTTAAATAGTGCTATCAAATTAATGCTTCCTTTGATTTTCCGATACATGCTATGTGTGGGATACTTTGCCAGGGATGAAGAAACTTTAAGGACAGCAATCAAAATAAAGCAGGTCATAGATTCAAGATTACATACCCACGATGCCCATGCCAAGCCGTAAAGCAATGCCTGTTCATATATATATATATAACGTAAGGATAGATGCTTTTAGCAAGCAGTTTAATTGATAATAAGTGATAAAATGAGTTAGTTAACTCAACTTACATATGTGATTGATGCTAGCAAGGCTATTCTGAGTACCACTCTTTCTCCAACTAATGGGTTGACTAGAGGAAAAACCAGCATCTTGAAAAAATGCAAAAGGTGAAAGAAGTTCAAAAAAAGGAATGATCATGATTCACAGGCAACAAAATAATCAAATTACTTAATAGTCAGTTAAATCAGATAAGAAGGTTTCGTACTAAAACGAAGAAATGGACTTCTGTCACTCATATAAATTGACGGAGAATCTTAAGGGTTGTTTGGTAGAGTGTATAAGAATAGTACTGAATAGGGTGTATTAGTAATGTTGGGATTAGTAATGATGATGAATAGAGTGTATATAAATTCTCTAATACATCCTACCAAACGACCCTTTATGCAGGTTCCAGATATAACAGCTAAAATTTGCAAAGACAAGTGTTCGTAAAACAGAAAACAGGTCTAGAATCTCTGTGAAGAATACCTGAGTGATAATTGAACCTACTCCCACCATCATCAGAATTTCCGAGAATTGGTTTTTGTTGAAATCAAATGCTGACTTCAGATAGTACTGTAAGATCAGGAAGATACTTCAGTGAGTTCTTAGTTTCCCTTAGAAAAACATTCAAATATTCAGACTTAAGTAATTGCAATATTAGAAGAAAACACAATTTTACCATTAACACACTGCTGATACCAGACATTCCCATGTCATAGAAGAACGAAACAAGACAAATACACTTGAGAGTTGAACTGAGGAGGAAAAACAAATGAATCTTTTAAGAATATGAACGAGGACTTATTTTCCGAACCTAGGTCTCCATATGAAAAAAGAAAAAGAAATGTTGAATCATGCTCCTATCCCAGAGAAAAGTTAGAAGTGGAAGAAAATGGTACAAGATCATTAAATGATATGGAAAAAACTCAAATAAAACAACTGTAAGACCTGCTTGTTACCACGTGTAATGCGTATCTCATTGAGCTATATCGATCCTGAACAAGTTTGTATGCTTTGCTTGACCAACGTAAATGCTGGTTAAGGTTTGGAGTTAGCTTAACTGTCTCGGTAAGAAAGATTATCATGTACATTGGAGCAATGATCAAAAGTGCCACCGAAACCTGAAATATGACACTTTAATATGGAGAAATCAAAGCAACTGCAGAAAAAAGTAGGAAAAGTGAAATCAAACAGACATGCCTCGAATATGTAGGTTCCAGGAAGTAAACGAGCAAGAAAGTTTCCCAAAACATGCGATAAAGATAAAATTCCGTGCATCCAACCGAAAGCTGCAGCCCTGCTTCTACCATCAAGAATATCTGCCTGCATACAAAATAATTCTGTTCTTTATATATAGTTCAGACCACATTCTAGACAGGATCCAGTATAGAAATCTTACAGCATAAGCAGCAGAAATGCAGAAAATACTTCCTTGACTCATGATATGAGAAATCATCCGCAGCACATAATAAGCATAGACGAATCCTTTTGACTCGTCTATAGCCAATATAGCTGAAACAAAGAAAAGATCATTAATAACATCATGGAAACAT